ATTAATCAAATGTTTAAGTGAAAATTACCTTATAAACAGAGCCGAAACCACCTTCTCCAAGTTTATTTTCAAGAGAGAAATTATTTGTAGCTGCAGCTATGGTGCTCAAATTAAAGAATGGCAAATCTGTACTGCTGTCATTTTTATCAATTTCATCCTTTCTATTTAAAGAGTTCACAAAGAATGATGAACTTCTGTAACTTCGTCTTCCTGTCCCTATAGCAAGCACATTAAAAGTTAAGTATCAGAGAAGTTAAGTGTAGTTACTTCTTATAACCATTGATAAATGAGTAAGATTCTTGATATACGGTTTACCCTCTATTAATGATTAAAAATAATATAGTTTGCATGGTTCCTATTAAGTAGATAATGTTAAAGTGTGTCATGTTTTAAGATTTAGCTAATGTATGATAAATTAAACAAAGTATATGAATTTATACCAAACATATTACCTTTTATTTTCCTCCTTACAAAACAATATATGCAGATGGCCATGAAAAGCATGACTGCAGCCACGGAACCTACCAGAGATGCCAATATTCCCTTCTTGTGAAGTGGATCCTTCTTCTTAGCATATTGAGCTAAAACAAAAGGAAAAGTCAAGAAATATAGCCGTTAACGTTTTTGTTAAGATGCATAATTAAAAGACGTTGAATATTCATTCTAGCTAGCATTGAAGACGTCAATGAATGGATCCAATATGGCGTAGGTGGGTGCTGTCCACTCCACCACACCAACTAAATTTCTAGAAGTCTCAAACAAAGGAAGATTTGTCAACACTGAGTTTGAAATCGTGTTGATCAATCCCCATCAACTGTTTACAAATAAAGAAACGACAATTCAATAACCAAGAAAAGGTAGAGGATCATTACCTATTTTCAAATAAAAAAAGAAAAGGTAGAGGAAATTCAAACAGGTTAAAAGTTCATAAAAAAAAAAAAAAATTTACGACAGGTTGAAAATTTCTTGATAATTAATTATAATGAGACAACTTAAGACCCACGTCAAAGTCAACAATCAAAAAAATTTTAGCCTACTTTTCGCCTCTAGCAACCTACTTTTTCGCCCCTCGAATCA